AAAATACGTGGGAGCTGGAAAGTGGTGATGGAGATGAAAAGGAATCGACCATTCATCATCATTCTATTGATGGCGAGTTGTTAAAAGACACAGTTATATATTGTGCGGCGGAAAAATATGGGTTAGAGGAACTTCAACGAGTGGCATTGAGGAAACAGGGGCTTCGTATGTTTCCCCCCCTTGATTCTTTTACTATTGTCGCTAACAGGGGAAAGAATCGGGTATTCAATGCAGTACCATTCTCTCATCGGCTCGTTATGCATATGCCAATACACCCGATACCGACTCGAAACTAAGAGCTCATTATCTTGCCCTCATTATCAGAAGTCGACGCACTTTTAAAAGAAGTGGTACGATGCAATTGGAGATGTTGCAGGGAGGCTCGCCGTTGTTTTTTGACTTATTTGTTGCTTTGGCTAATCATGTTGATGATGTTGTTGCGTGAGTACTTTCTATTCTTGTCTTATAGTGATATATGTAAATGGTTTGAAATTTAGCTAATCATGAATGTAGTGCTTCACCAAAAAGCTTTAGGACTCATTGAATGATAGATACAGTCGCATCTCATCTCAAGTCAACACAACACCGCACAGCCTCCTTTCCTTACGGGTGTCGCATCACGAAACTACACTCCTCCTGACGCTATCATCTTTTTTCTACTCTTCACCTCACTTTACCACTTTCTTTCTTGGTTATTCATACAAGCGTTGCGTTTACATTCCTCTTCAATCTCACCCACAATTTTGACCCCTTTGGTCTCAACTTACCTCGAGCAAAACTCATGATACTTCACTACTTACTTCTCATGACGAACTTTAATTCCTGTTCTATTTTGATACCATGGCGTTAGCGTTTCAGTTATTCTTCTTCTTCATGGACACCATTATTCTGTTGTTCTTTTCATACTGGGTTCTTCTTCCTTAGAATTTGGTTTTACTTTTCATCAGGACTTACCAACATCGCCGAGATGGCGATACAAACGAGCGAATGGACAGACGAGAAGGGGTGGAGGGTGCCACATGTATTATTATCCGTGTGCTGAATGCTTTGATGACTTTTCTTTTTCCTTCTTTACTTATTCTACTTTCCTGTCTGGTTATTTGAATATTTCGTTTCATTCGTTTCGTTTCGGTTTGCAGATTGCGCACTTCATTATTTTATTAAGTATGTAGGGAAACCCGGACGGGAAAGGAGGAACATATCAAATTGACAGGACAGATCAATGAACGCGAGAGAACGAGATTATGGATTGGATGAGAGGATGGGACTGTATTATTTATTTCATCTATCTACTATTTTCGTTGGTTTCTTATGTTCAGTCTAGGGGATTTTATTTATGTTATATTGTCTATTACACGATTTTATGCAATCTTATGTTATGTTAAATCCTTAGGAGGGGAATGAGGAGCAGACTTATCCACACTGTTTTTACGATGGAAGAAAGAAGGAAAGAAAGGAAATAGGTTTTGATAGGAAAGGATAGCAAGAAAAGCAAACCAAAATGGCAGTCGAGTTTGCAGAATGCAGCGGAACAGAACAAATCGCGAGGCGATGAGAAATTGGAAAGGTAGAGGAGGGGAACTAGATTTCGTGATTTTAGTTTGGATTTGGATTTGGATTTGAGTTTGATGATCTCGATATCGAGTTCTTGCTTATGGGGATAATGAATGAATATAGGATGGTAGTGGTATCAATTATCAAGTATCGATATCAGCGATACTTATATTCATTGTTTATCGTGTTGTGGAGCTCGAGGAGAGAGATTCTGTGATTTGTATGTATCATATGTGTAACTTCTTGGACTCTTTGGATGCAGACTCGGCAGATTGTATTTGACTAGAGTGAACTTTAGTGTGTGTGTGTGTGTGTGAGAGAGAGAGAGAGGGGGGGGGAGAAAAAGATGATAACAAGCGGAAATTCGTAAGTAGAAGGATGATTGGGTGGGATTGGGTTGAGGTTGATATTTTGATTGATGTGTCGATGGGATTGATGGATAGATGGATAGAAGAAAAAAAGTGAGTGACTTATGATGTACGTATGCAGTACGGGGGATAAGGAGGTTTATTTACTGAGTGTATCCATTGAATATTATATATCTGCCTATCTACCTACCTACCTACCTACCAACATACATACACATATACCCACGTACTCAATAGTATCAGGAAAAACGAGGCGAATTCGACGTATTGGAGATGCTGGGGATAAATATATATATGTGTGTGTATGCATATATATATCACAGAAAGAGAAGATATAATCCCCGCCGAATAAAATGAAAGAATCACCAGAAATAACACTCAGAATATAAGTAAGTAGATGCCAAGACATCTAAGGCAGATAGATGTACATCTATGTAGGAACGCATGACTAGAAAAACATGTACGCATACAATCATCAGACTCGTGTGAAAGATACTGGAACTAACATGTAGATATATCTTGGTGTGGTATACCTATACAGTGAGCAGCAATATATACTTTGTTGTTGAATGATGGATTCATATATATCGTCGAGTGTGTATTTGATCAAAGAGAGGCGAATGAGCGGTTGCCTAAGAGGAAAGTATTCTGGGTACCGATCTTTGCAATTACACATTGATGAATGTTGTGAATATCGTCGAATAGAATGATTTCGTACATGCACGGGTTATCATCTTGCAGGATGTAATTGATATCATTGTCGTTTCACTACCGCTAAGAGAAATTATTAAACGCCTGTTCCAGGAAATGCGCCACCTTTGCTTAATACCACGATTCCATGTGCTCGGGATATGTAACCTTTCATCAAGCTCTAAAGACTAAGTGTTAGCACATTAATCATTTCGAAGGATAAGACTCTGGGACTCACCTTGTAAATCATATTTGCAAGTAAGCATTCCACTTCATCATTTTCCATTGTCTCTTTACTCCCAATACTGATCGCAGCAGCAAATTCTGCAACTGGGATTCTAGTCCTTCTTACAGGTGCAGCAGTTGATTCCTTGGCTTCTTCATAACCGCCCGCGATAAATACTTTGCGTAGAAGATTGCGTAATGCGATATCGCGGCCACGTTCTAGAGTGAGGTAGATGCGACGTTTGACAAATTCGTTTTCACCGGCTAGGAGAGCGGCGTCGAAACCGGCAAGGTCGCCTTTTTTGATACATCGAGAAAGAGGGCCGAAAAGTTTTTGAAGTTTAGGATATGGCTGGAGGAGGGCTGGAGTGGGGAGGGTGTGGGTTGTCAGGAGGTGACAGGGAATCAGGTAGGTGAGGATGAGTCTGATGTTTTGATTAATGGCCGTTTTAACATTTAGAGATACGGTGAACATACTCTTTATTTTTGACGGCACTCTTGTGACATAATCTCCATGCTTCGGTGAGATATTTCTCTGCCTAAAAAATCTTTAGTCAGGACTGTACATCAAAAGAATTGCAGTTTGACAAACGTACTTCTTCATAATGTTCCTCGAGAAAATATATAACCCCACAATAATACTTGAACGTCACCTGATGAGACATAGGAAAAGATTCGAGGCTCGGCATATCACCTCGATATGCTTGGATCGCGTTGAGAATATTTCTTGACAATCCGATAGAGTTTAGTTTGAAGTAGGTCTTGAACAACAAATTGATAATATTGTAAGTAGCCCATTTCCTAGACTCTTCAAGGGATGCTCGGTCGCTGAGACATAATGTGAATATGCGATTCAGTTGTCGAGCAGCATCTTCTAGCTTCTCGTTTGTTTCCGACTCTGGATTCAAATCATCCTGATAGTTCATAGCTGCATTCGATACGGTGCCGGTTGCTTCATCAGCTTTGATGGCAAAGATTCGTAAATATTTGCCAGCGACGTATAAGCAAGGTACAGTCCAAGCTTCAAATCCGCAGGCACTATAACCACGATGAAGAGCATTTGTGACTTCTTTCCATGATTCATATACCTTTGTCCATGCATCCTAAACAATTGTTAGCTGAATCTTTGAGCGTATGAAAGATAGAATCATAAAATGGTAGCAATAGAAATCGCAGGTCTATCACGTGTTTCTATAAACACGTCGGGTCAAGCGGTAGTGTCACATATTATACTCTCCTCCATCTCAGATGTCCAGTTTCATACCTTTGAGTTATCTTCGGGAGCGGCCTCTGCACTGGACATGAAACCAATGAACTTCCAAAAGGCGCAGTAAACGTCTACCCATGCCCGACCTTCTTCCACCGAACAATTCAACGGAGATCGATCATCATATAGAAGTCGATATTCGATATCTTTCTTGACATGTTCAAAATTTGTACTTTGATAGAATTCTCGAAGTCTGTTGGGGTTTGCAGCAGGGGCGACAGGATAAAGGGTCATGGACACACTGTAGCCATTTCCCTCATTGTAGGCGGCCTTGAACTCATGCAAAAACGCATCCATCTTCGATTTCAAATAGGTTTTGCAACTCTTGGACAATGGATACGAGATTTATTATGGGTTGAGAGGAAACAATGACCCAGTTTGATGCTTGATGGTTTGATTGATGCGAAGAGAAGGGGAACTAAAAATTCTGAACGCTGGCGAGGGTATCATGAATCTATGTAGAAAAAACGTAGAGCAAGGAATAGACTGTTATGATATCACAACTACCGTTTTACTGAGAGGTTGGAGTATTGTCATAGGAATTATCTTTCATTGAATTTCAAATTCATCCATTCATTACATTGCTTCTTTCTTTAGTTCGATTCTCATAAAATTAATAATCACCGTTGACGATATGCTATTGACACTCCATGGTCCCACCTTTCCCGTGATGTACTATCTTCCAAGCCACAAAAGGCAAGGTCAAAATCTCTAGGGCTGCTAAAAATTGAAACCCTTAGCTTCAATTTTCAACCGAGAATTTCAATTTGGGAGGAGCGAAGCCATCAATTTCAAAATTTGCAGCGACAATCACGACAACAACCACGGCCACACAATATCACAGTACGTTTACCTCTATCGCAAAGAAATCAACGACGTCAGCTAACCCCATAAAGATGGGTAAGATATAGATTTTCTTCTTCAATCCGATGGAATGGACCTTACAAAAATTATCGACACGACGATTGCGCACCATTCGACAATTCTCCTCTGCGGACCTTACGACAATGTAATGATTGGCACAAGGCGAAAAAGCATTCGATTTGAGCATTTAGAGCGATCAGAATCGAGTCGGATGAAGTCATTGGTTGTGGTTTGGAAGCGGGAAATTTGCGAATGGGACCAATGGAATCCAAAATTCGAGGCCCCGACTACCAGCTTCTTTAATCTTCATATCAGAGCCTTCTCTCGATGAATGAAAACCTTCTGCTTTCGAACCGTTTCTAGTGGAGTCGATAAATCGCCAAATCAACAATTATCAACTACATCGCCATGGTGCAAGTCATGGATTGGGTCTATTTTTTTGATACCGCATGGACTCGAGATTAAGAGTGGAAGTTCTGGAAGCTAACATGCTTTCCTTTAGGTCGCCTTAGAGAATACCAGGTCATTGGCCGTCACTTGCCTTCCGAGGCCAACCCAGCCCCAAAGTTGTACCGCATGAGAATCTTTGCACCAAACACCGTTGTTGCAAAGTCTCGTTTCTGGTACTTCTTGATGAAGTTGAGAAAGGTCAAGAAGGCAAATGGAGAAATCGTCAGCTTGAACGAGGTATGCGATTACACAATGACGTATTCGAATGCTTCAAGAATCTAATTTTCCACTTTTGCAGATCTCTGAGAAGCGCCCAATGAAGGTTAAGAACTTCGGTATCTGGATCAGATATGATTCCCGCTCCGGAACTCACAACATGTACAAGGAGTACCGTGAGATGTCAAGAACCGATGCTGTTGAGGCCTTGTACCAAGATATGGCTGCCAGACATCGTTCCCGTTTCAGGTCGATCCACGTAAGTTCAATTTGTTCTGGAATCACGGAAACCAATTTACTGATTGCCCAAATAGATCCTCAAGGTTGTTGAGATCGAGAAGACCGAAGATGTCAAGCGCCCATACATTAAGCAACTCCTCGAAAAGGACCTCAAATTCCCTCTTCCTCACCGCATCTCCAAATCCATGACCGCCAACCTCTTCGCCTCAAAGAGACCATCAACTTTCTACTAAGTGTTTCGTGGCATAAGTCTGGGTTGGGGTTTCAAATATTGGTGTTTTTACATGCATCTCGGAAAGGTGTGCTAGCTTAAGCTCAATGAATGGGATCAATAGCAAACAACAATATTGACATGACAAATGTTTTCTGTGCAAATTTTAATCAATGGTCGATGATTTTTATGAAGTCTATTTTCACGTTACCTGTGTATGCCATTTCTAGGTTCATTCTAAACATAAGATTTCTTCAACGCCAGTACAGTCAATAATGATCAAAACTTAACGCAATGTTGCATTTTAAACCCCGCAAATTCTGCACTCTCCTTAGTTATGGAACCCAAAAGGACTTTTCCCATGTGCTCAATTCAATTTCAATTCTAAAGCCAAAAAATCAAGCGTTTGTACCAGCACTAAGACTCATCTCTCATTTCTTTGAGCACCTTCTCTCCCTACTAACGCTATCCATCTATAATATGATCCCTTACTCATACACCCCCTGGAATCCATCCATACATGGGTAGATCGCGCGAAGAAATAGAGTCTGGATTGAATTGTGTCTTGTCTTTTGTCTTGTTTTTGTATCTTGTTGTATATCTTTTATCTGGCATTTGGCTTGATTATGGCTTCTTGGGTTGATTTTGATTTTGAGAAGGAGAAGGAGGGATATTGATAACGACAATGATAATTCAATAATCCAATCACGAAAGCATATCATGTATATATTCTCCTTCTTTATTCCTCGTTTACTATTTATTTTGGATATTACCAGTTCTTGAATGAGTAGATATATATTTCTTAGAATACCCCCCAAAAAATTGGTTATTGAAAAGTCTTGCGTGTTTATTTATTATTCTTTTCTCATCTTCGTCTTTACATATTTCTTTACGTTTCAACTGGAGCGACCCCATCATCTTTGACTTCCCGCTCTGCCTCCAACTCCTCCTTTAACTTCACTTCTCCATCCTCCACCTCATCTTTCTCACTCTCCTCACCCTCACCCTCCTCACTCCCCTCTTTCTCCCCAGTATAAACAATCCCCTCTAACTTCTCTCCCCCTTCCACCCACACCTCCTCCAACTCCCTCTCAATCCCCCTCTTCCTCTCCTCCCAAACCCTTTCCATCTCCATCCTCTCCCTCAACTCCTGCAACTCCTTCTCCGTCCCCATCTTTTCCCTCTCCGTCCCAATCCTCTCATACTCCCACTCCCCCCCATCACCCAATCCCAGCTTCAAATTATACGTATGATATCTCTTAAGACTCGCTCGCGTACTGATTGTAATCAACGTGATTCCCTTCTCCTTGCACGTTTCGTACAGAAGTCCCTCGACGTCGCTTGAGACGGCAGAGGTACCTTCATCTATAAACGCATATCTAGGTTCATGATACAACAATCTCGCGATAGCCATGCGTTGCTTCTCTCCTCCGCTAAGTACATCTTTCCATTCCTTTCTTGTATCCCAGCCGCCTTCTCTATCAGGGAGATATCCCAAGCGCGCGTCTTCGAGAATACGTTTTAGTTCAAGATCGCGACGCCCTTTAGAACGCATTTCAACCTCACCATCTGGATAGATGACTTGATCGCGCAAAGTACCGACGCTGAGATAAGGACGTTGGGGTAAGAACATGATGCCATCGGTTCCGGTTGTGCGGGCACGAGAAACGAGACCTCGATAGACAGGCCAGAGACCGGCGACGATACGGGCGATGGCACTTTTACCAACACCATTTGAGCCGGAAATCTAATAGGTTAGCTTTGAGGTATTGAGAAAGAAAGGGGGAAACAATACTTACGAGGAGATGTTCGCCAGAGTGAACAACCATGGAGAGGGAATCAATTAGCTCTTCTCCGCCATGTGGATATACCGATGGAGCGACTACAGGTACATTTTCCAATCTAACCCCATCGAATCCTTTTTGAGTGGTACCCTGTACATCTGAAAGAGAAAAAAGTTCTGACTGAATGGCTCGAGGAGGAAAGTATGCATTCGCATGGACTCGGTGAAGGGTTGAAATCAGCGTATAGACTCGACTAGTATATCCAGCTAATTCCGAGAGATCTTTGATCGAATACATCATACGCCCACCAGCATCAGCTAATGATAACATAAGTCGCTTATTGGTGATGAACTCCTTCATTCGACCTCTTTCTCGACCGCCTACTACAGAGACATCCGCCAGCTCCGCAACTCCACCAAGACCACCCCATGCAGGGAGGAAAACTGGTAATGAACTGAGCAAATAGCCATACGCACTCCAACTATATTTGAGAACAAAATCTTCAAGTATGTTGTAGCGAATTTTAAGCGTATATATCCCTTCCATCCATCTTTTGAGACTTTTAAACTCTTTATCTAAGAAGTTCTTCTCCATATTGGCGCCTCCATAAAATGCTACCTCTTCTGCATTTGCAATAAGACGGGCATGAAGACCTCGGAAATCTCCTTCTTTACGTCCTTCAACAGCTTTCAATTTTCCAAATGGTGGTGAAAGTCGTCGAAGAATTGAAGCCGTCAAAAAGTAATTTGTCATTAACCCAGTCAAAGCCAATGGCCCAAGAGACCGGTATAACTGATAGTTGAAAACACACAAATCAACGAAAGGTTTGCCTAACGATGAATATAGACTTGCTGCTGATTCACAGAAAAGGGTCAAGTCTTGTGTTATAAATTGATCTGCACCTTGCCCAACGCCACCATCAAGATTCGAGAGTTTATAGTAGTTGAGGTTATCATTAAGATACAAATCGTGAATATATCTTGTTAATCGTGTGCGGAAAGCAATTGAAACTTTGGATTGAAGAAATTTGATCATAGCATTTGTGTATGAAGCCAAACCCCCAATGCCACACCACTTTGATATAGTCAGTCAATTGAAAATGAAGGATTGTTAAAGAGCAACGAGAAAACGAGATGATCTAGACATCAAATGAAAAGAGAATAAAATACACCTCCCGCATATTAGAAAAAGAACTCTAGCACTCTTACCTTTATGATGCCCCAACTGAAAGCTCTCCCATTACCTGCAACTAAATCTCTAACAATTACACCATCTAATCGTGCCACAACCAATGACAAGTAAGTTCGAAGCAACAAAAAGATACCATGGCTCAGAAGTAACCCAGTCTCTTTACTTGACCATCTTGGGATCATTATACTCAAGAGACTGAGAAATTGATGCAAAAATGCTAGATTCAATCCCGGCTTCGTTTGGGGAGGTGGAATCTGCGGAGTTTGTTGACCATCCGTAAGCCCAGCAGCTCGAGGTGGATTCAGGAAAAGTCTCCTGTGAGCGTCGAAAGTCAAAGGTTTGGTAGGGTATATGGTGACTTTGGAGGTGGTGTCTTTATATGGTACGAATACCACTCGCGATCCATCCTTATTCTTAAGTCCAGAGTTCCGCCTATGTAATCGCTTTCCCTGCTCCTTTTCTGCCGCTCGTTTCTGCCACGATCGATGACCAAGAGTCCCTCCGCATATTATAGAAAGAGTGAGGAGTAAAGTTGCGACAAGTTTTGTTGTCCTTGAAGCTCCCTGTATTCGACTACGAATGAGATTCGCGTATCTTTGATACAGCGCGCCGATGGGATCGGAATATCGTAAAGTAGATTGCGACGCCATCTTTCTGAATCTTTGAAGAAGATCGGAACTCTGCGATATCGAATATGCGCCGGCTACTTGGACTTCATTTCCTCGCTCGAGAGTAAAGTATTTGGTTGACGGTGTTGCATTCCAAGGAATTTCGATGACGGATCAAGTCGCTGGACATTCAGCGAAGCTCAGATTTATCTCACATGAATTCAAAGACGATAGTACGTTTGGTATATTGCGAGTTTTGATAGTACCAACACTAGTATTGTATTGTACTTTGTTTGACAGATACTCTACTCAGCTCAGAAGAGTTGATGATCATAATGTGTATTGACATGTGGAGATGAAGTGGAAATGTAAAACCGAGGCTGCTGGAACCTGCAGGGACAAACCCGCAATTCATAGCTTCGCTTCCCCGCAGTCGTTTGAAAGGAAAAAGAAACAAGAAGTGCTTTGTACAGTACGAGTATTAATTGACTGAAGTCAGAAATAATACAGAGATGACCGCAATACTGTATCCGAATACCATATTCATGACCTTTACCAGATCAGTAATGTTCATTCATAATACTTACGAGACTCAATTCAATGCCTTCACGTGTCTGGCAACGTTATTTGTTGCTGTTGTCAGACCCTCCGGCATGGCAATAATACTGATAAAGTCTACTCGGGCTCGGTCTTCTAATTTACGGTCATACCAATTTGTTATAACGTGAATGGGAAGAAGCTAGACTGATGAACTTATTGAAAAAGTATCCGAGCCATCTCAACTTCTCCATCTCTCATCTCTCAACTTCTTAAGCCGTTTTGTTCGGGCTTTCATCGGACATCCACATCTGGTGATCGAATCAGACCCTGGAAACGACTATCATTTTAAAATGCTGTTAGTTTTGTGATATATCTGTAGAATGAGAGACATGGCAGTTGGAAAGTTAAAGTTGAACAAACGGTAGACAATGGTTGACAAGAGATCACCTTATCGCCTGGGCACCAAAAGCTTGATCCTGGTTTGGTGATAGCTTCATAATCATATGGATATTCTAGGCCCCGTTAATAGGTCAAAGCATAACCGCTGAAGTGGAGAGTGAAGAGTAGTGTGAGGATCTTTCTCAAAAGATCATCCGGATGAGCTTGAGTACCGTCTCTCTCCCGTTTGAATGTTCTGTGTACGGTGTGAAGCAATAGTCGACAATGTGATACATATATATTTATATACTTTTCACGTATCATTGCTCCGAGCATCTCTTGGTACATCTCTATTCAGACCTCAAACTAGGATATATGTCCGAGTTTACTGACTACCACTACCTTTTGAGGGTAAGCAGTTTCCTGTAAGCTGACGAGCTACCACAGGCTAGGTGCAGAGAGATAAACGGATTAGCATCATACAAGGGGAGCTACCGTAGGGAGGTACGGTAGGTACCTAC